TTTTTTTTTTTTTTTGACTGGGACCTTCTCTAGTCCTTGCACGGCCGGGCCGCCCGGGAAAATAGGGTGACCCGGGCGACCCGGCTGGTAGCCTAGGTAGTAACTTAGTAACTTAATAAATTACTAGTAACTTACACAAGTCTGTATTTTGTGGTTGACTCCGATCGAACATTCAATGTGTTGCAGGTTGTGACCCTCTGGTACCGAGCACCGGAGATTCTCTTGGGGTCGAGGCATTACTCTACACCGGTGGATGTGTGGTCTGTTGGATGCATCTTTGCGGAGATGGTGAATCAGCGGCCTCTTTTCCCCGGTGACTCAGAAATTGACGAGTTGTTCAAGATATTTCGGTACGTGTTCTCTCTTGTAACAATCTTTTAGCAAAATAGTGTGGAGTTTGTCTTGTGAGCATCAGTGCAGAAAGCACAGCTTGGCCTGCAGCTCTGGAGGCCCTTGTGATGTGCAGAAGTGTCTATCTTCTTTTGCTGACGTGCACCATTCTTCCGTTCTCTGGCTTTTGCGCATGCCATAACTTGGTTGGCCTTCATATCTCCATACAGTCTGGATTGTTCAAAGTTCTCATGCAGGTTGACAAGGAACTCTGTGACAGAAGGAAGGCCTGGTCGGTGAAAAGGGTGGGTGGGTGTGCCAGAATTTTGTGGTTAAGAAAAGAAATAGTAAACTTGGTACAGCCTTCTTAGCACTGGAAGTCTAGCAGTGGAGAGAAGTGTGTTTTCAACGGCGTCAACAACAATGGATTCGCATACAGTCGGGCATTCGAGATCACACAGTGGTTGAAGATGCAATCTGAAGAGAAGCAAGCAATCTGATGGAAATTAGTTGGTGGTCCAATGGGTGCCGACTGACTTCTTGGGCGATCCACTGGTACCTAAAGAAAAGACATGCGCCGACAACAGGACGAAAGACGGGGCAAGCAGCCGTGGCCACGGGCCTCCTAAAGAAATGGACCTGTAGTTCTCTGAGTTGTCGCTTCTCCTTTTTTTTTTTTCCTCAAGGGGGTAGGCCCGGGTAGCCCCAAATAGTTTTGTATCTATCTGATGCCGCCAGGGCTCGAACTGATGATCTGTTGATGAACAATTACACGTGTGCTGGTCAGCCACATGGGCTCGGTTCGAGTCTTTGTCACATGGAGTGTTCAGAAGCAAAATGACACTCAACTAAAATTGTGGTTAACAATATATATTCTGCGAGGTGTTGATCAACCTCTTGAGCCAGGTATGGACCCCCTCACTGTTCGAGGAGTGATTTATGCAATTTTTCATTTACCTTCTGGTCGTTTTTATGTTGGACAGACGATGCATTCTGCACACCAAAGGCTGCAAGAGCATTGGCATACACGACACTCTTCTGCTACTTTTCACCATCGCCATTTCTACCGCACAATGAGTGGGCAGCCAGCATTCAACTTCGCAGCTTGGCCCCTAGAATGCATCGATCCTACCCTGTATCATACGTCTGGAGGTCTTGTTGATCATGGCCTCTTTCGGAGGGCTGCTGCACCCCGCGAGGGTTTTTGGGT